TGGTTGAGAACTTGGCTTTATCGGTTATAAACGGACGATGAGAAGAAGAACAGGCGAACTCGACTCAAGAGGTCAGCACGCAAGGACCAGCGTTCAAAAGAGTTATCTCCCGGCAGGGGAAGGCAGCAAGCCACGTCGTTCTACGGAGAAGCTGGGTTGCAGGTCGGGGAGAAATCGATAAGGAGCTTCATCAGTCAGGAAAGGAGATTTTATATATGTCGGTAAAATCCCGAATCCAAGTTCACAACTGATTGCATGTATACACTCTTTTACCTATTTATTTGAGTCTCGCAAGTAGGAAGTTGTGCAGAACGGTAAACAACCTTGCATGCGGTTCGACGAGTTGTGTGTTCAGTGTAAGTTATGGCCTCCAATATAGATCCGGAGGAGGAGCAAATCAGGTTATTGATTGAAAAGTGTATAGAGGATGGGGTGTTTCCGGAAGGATTGGACCATGGAACGGTGGCTGTGGAGGGTAGGTCTGCCACGATCACTCTTAACCCGAAAATCGACGATGTAGTGGTAAGGTGGCTCAAAGAAAGAACGGTGGTCGTCGTTTTCCAGGACGAATCGAAAGCTCTCCCGAACAGATGCTTATCCGGGTATATGAGGATGGCTGGTATGCCAATCCAGCGGTCAACCCTTCGTTGAAAAGAGGAAGAGTCAAATATGAGGGTGCTAATGTATTTTTCTACGTGGCAACAACAAAAGAAATCGCAAAATTTATGATCAACAAAGCATCTGATCTGATTATGTTTCGTGATCCGAAAACGCTAGGTGGCCTAGATATTCGTTACCCAGTTCAATTTCGTAGATGGGCTACCAAGAAATAATTGGATGACTCAAAAGCCCGGGAGACTGCATGTAAATTTTGGGTGATGGCTATTAGGGTTTATTGCGAGCCATGTTTCATCTTCATTGGGCAGTGGAAAATTCCATTGCCAAAATTTAAAAAATGTACCCTCCACAAAAGGATAACCATTTCTCAGGACTGATGAATATTAAGATAGATCTTGCACCAGAGGCGAGACAAACATGGAAGGAGAAATTGAAATTCGAGAAGGATGGGGAACATTTTAAGTTGGAGTTTGTGTCGCAAGCAACAAATTGGTGTAAGAAATGCAAATGGTACTATCATACCGAAGATAGTCCATCCTGTCCACACCATCCGTTGCACCACACCACACATGGTTCAGCCTCTTCAACGAATTACCAATCTCGACAGGGTCAGGCAGACCCTCCTCCGATGGCACAGGATCCTCGATATCATCCGGCAAACGGTGCAGGTAACCGTCCAACGGGCGACCCCGCTCATCCCTTCTTTACCCCTCCAGTCTTTACAAAAGGACCGTCCCCCCGTGGACCACAACCTTTTTTAACGATACCAGCATCGTCACAACAGGGTGCAACCCCCCCCCCTGTTCACCCGAGTTCCCATCCGGTCAATTGGGGGTCACAGTCGTTAGGCAGTGCACCTAATTTAAGACCTGCCCAAAACACAACGCCCACATATCAGTTTCATGCTCATGTCAGATTGCCTACACAGGCTCACCAACCAGCCGGTTGGGCAGACTTTGGAGTAGGGATGGGCCAGGGGATGAACATGGGGAATTTGTCGGTACTCGGTGCGGTAATGAGTCAAGGTGGCAGTAGTTTATTCTCACAGTACTCTGGTCGGTATTATCCGGTGTTTGAAAAAGAGCCACTACCACCTGGGGTGCCTGGCGGAAACTACTCAGGACCCACACCGGCCCCGGTGAAAGCAGATCACTTGCAGATTTGTGCACCTCTCTGTAATCCCGTCCCGATCCATGTGGGTGGGAGATCCCATCATCTTTGCTAGTGGTAGCTAGCCCCAAGTGCTGCGTGTAAGGCACCGCCTCGCTCCACTACTCTCTAAATGTACAAAATGAGAATGAATCGTCTGCTAGAATTTGAAAAGATGCACGGCCATGATTTTTGTCTTTTATTCATGTCGAGAGTTCCACCACTGCCGCTCCGAGTTCCGCCAGCAGGTGCAGCCGGCTACTCCTCAGCGCAGCGCAGACCCAAATCGAAAAAGGATGAAACACGTTGCGCACTTGTCCGTGTGCACAGGTAAGATACACACAATACAAAAAAAAAAAAAAAAAAAAAAA